CACTCACTACACTTATAAAGTTTCACAGCACCCCTGTCACTAAAATCATAATGGGCAGACAGTAATTGAACTATTCTATCTGGGTAAATGCATTTTGGCTTTTATGACTCCTCCTATTTCGAGAAATCAAGAGTTATGTGTCATGATCCACACTGGCTTTTATATAGGTTAGATAATTCATAACCTAAACATGGCCATCAGTTTATTAGTTAGCCAGTGTTTCCTCTTAATAGTTTGGCAAACATTGTAAACCTCTTAACTAATGCAAAAGTGTTTTATCATCAGGTACTTTTTGTAAATGTGTAGATTGAGAAATTTTTGGATTTTTCTTCCACATCTTTTTCAAAAAAAAAATCATTGCTAAAATTTATAGATTTATTACTTTTTCTTTTCTTTTTTAATAGATCCCTTTTTTTTAATTTAAACCGTCCATTTCAAAAAATAGGATGTTGAGCCATTAATTTTGTTTTGTTATAATCAGGTTTTTCACTCTTTTACATGTTTTAAGGGTTTTCTTCCTGTTGGGAGAGTGAGAAAGAGAACTTTATGCACTGTTTAAACAAATACTGGTTGTAATTTATTTTCAGATATATTCACCACGGTTTGGTGTTACTAATAGGTTAGGCTACAAACTTTTTGAGCTAAGTGATAGCCACAAAAAATAAAAGCAGATAGATAAATTACATGTTCGATTTTCTTTATCTTTAGGTTTTTGAATAAAACTAAACATTTGGGAAAGATTGGCAGCAACAATCTTTATAAATGCAGTTCTTCATACATAATTGAGCTGTAATAGATTTGCATAGAACTGATAGTTTTTGAGCAAATATAAATTAAACTTGAGCTGACTAGTCTAAAGAATGTGAACTGCTTACTGCTTCTAATCCATAGTTTGTAAGATTTTCACGTACGATTCTGTTGCCAGCGATCAAGTGACCGCTCTTGGAGACCAGTGTGGGCAGTGCTCAATGCAGAGATGCTGTATCTTTTAAAGGAAAGAAGAGATCCATCTGAGGTGAGATTTTGGTAAAGCTTTTCAATTTACAGATGTTATGGAACAAAAACTCATGGCTATGTCTATATTATCCTGTGTTGTAATATGTGCATTTTGAATTATTATTCTGCTAGAATTGTTAACCATTGCCCTCTGAATGTTGACAGATGTGTGAATTAGCCTATAAAATCACATATAGTTCTTCATACTTATTATACTGAAGTAAATTGTTACATCCTTTTCATAGGTATGTTCAACATTTTATTATAATTTCCAATACTGAAACAACTCATTTTTTGAAACTTTACTTGATATGCTTCAATGTAATAGGAATAAAAAGCAGGATACACATATAGTACATTTTTAGGCTTGAAAAGTTGATATAGAACTATGTTTGCCAGATCAGCCACATGAACTTTTGTTAACATAAATAGTTAGTTACTTTTAAATCCATTGTTTAAGAAGTTTATAATTGTAATAACTATTTCATATTTCTGTATTGTTAAATCTGATATTATACTTCAGTGTATTTTCAAAGTATAATATTGTTTAAACAGTTTTACACCATAAAACAGTTGCCAACAATTTTTTATACCTTAGTTAACCAGCAAGTTTTATATCTTTTTGACAGACAAAATTATCATGCTTTTAAACTGAAATGTATGTTATGATATTTCCTTTCCTTCAAACTCTACTTTCTTGTGTGTTCTGGATATGCGCATCATATACTCTGATGCTCCAAATGGACATCCACAACTATATCACAAGTTTCAAATGAATAGATACAACTATTCCTTAGTCACAAATAGGCAAGTATAACCATTCAATATGTTTCAAATGGATCAGATAAACCCCCTTCCATATGTTTTAAATACATTCATAATTCTTCCATGTGTTACAAATTTGTTATTCTGAATAGTGAATAATTCCAGTTAAATCATAAGAAAAGCATATATGTGGTATAAGTCACTTTTTTAAGATGAAATTGTTAAAACTGCATATTTCAACAATTTATTTAATATCAGTTCATGGTGAGTTGATTAATGGCATTCAACATTTCTATAACACTTAAGTATACATTTTTGTTGTGTGTACTAATAAAATATGAGCATGCACAGGAAACATCATAATTTCAGTAGATATTTTAATAAATAATCTGGGTCCTTACTGTCAAAATTATGATGTAAGGTAAAGCTCACAAGCATCTCACAGGTATACAATACAATACAGCATAAATTATGGAGAAAATACCCAAACTCATTTATTTTATATGATGAGGTTCTTGATTTATCCTGTCTTGAGCTTTTTGTACAAGTCATTTTATCACAGTTAATATCATTGAAAATATGTTTTTGGAAGTTGTAGTGTTTCAAATAATTTATGTTTTGTATAATAGTTTAGATATATTACTTTAAGTTGGAAATCATTGTGAGCTAGGTTGGCCCAGGAATTGAAGACACACACATACCAGTAAAATCAAGCATAGCAGGAGTAGCTCATGACTACACAAAAAAGAAGCATGTCTTTCGATTGCGTCTTCCTGGAGGTACAGAATACCTTCTTCAAGCAGACACCCATGTGCAGATGATAGAGTGGCTGGCTGCACTTCAACACATCAAGATGGAAGATCATGAGGTAAAGAAAACAATATTTTTACTAGTCTTTTTAGTGTGGAAAGGTTTATCAAGTTGGTAGTTGAAAATACTTAATGTTTACTTCTCTAGATTTTACTAAACATTTTTTATGTATGTTTCTTGCATTGCTATAATTGATTTTCTTTCTTCTTTGATTTCAAAAATCACTCCATCTTGAAACCAATAGTTGGTCAGGGCTTCTTCTTTTTGTTTACCAGGGCCAGACATTGCCTGGTGGTTAGTATGTCTGACTAGTAATCCAAGAATTCAAACTTTTCTCCCATTACCACAAAAATGCAGTCCACATTTTAAAGTTGTGGGTGTGCTATAAGAGTGACAGTTAAGTTCCACTCTTCAATCAGACAAGAGTAATGTACTAGTTGGTAGTGCATGTTATTGACTAGCGTGTTATAGAAATAACTTTTAGCTTTGCATAAAATCCAAAAAGAAAGAAAACTTTTTTCCTCAACTGGAAATCATAAGAAAGTGACCAGCTTTCTAGTCATGGACAGATATCTTCAGTCATTTTCTTGTTTTAGAATGTATGGTTCTCCAAACAGGTCAGTTCTGTCATGCCCACACAAATAGAAACAGAAAGATGTCAGTCAACATGGCTAAAATACAAAAAGGACACAGATCTTGTTATATTAATGGAGAGAGAACTCCACAGGAGGGTTGACATCCCACAAAGGTTTTGCTTCCAATTAGACTTTTAAGATTTTACTTAAAATTAGTGAGCCATGCAATAATACTTTCTGATAATTATGAATTTTGAAATTGCCTATGGCTACAATGAAATCATGTTCTGAATCAAACTCCTCATCACATATATTCTTCTTTTGGTAACACATGTATGGAGTACATTATATTGTGGGTTGAGGTAATAAATTGCTTGTATCTTTCTTGGGTGTAGTCCTTCATCTGTTTCTCCTTAGCTTTGCTGGTTGACTGTTTTCTGCTTGCTTATTATGTGGTGGAGTTTGAGTGGGAAATTCAAGCTTGGCATCTGAATGGAACTGTGTCTGCTTTTATCCTTTCAGTTGTTTGTGATGCAAACTAAAGGTGCTGAATCAGTTTTAAGGCACACATACAAAACAGCTCTTTACTTACAATATCAGAACAAGTCTCCCTAAAGTGGCAGCTGACTGCATTCAAGTTGCAAGATTGATGGTCTTTGTGATACTTTATGGAAAAGGTCCATCAAGGAGCACCTAATTTACTGAGTGTTGATGGAATCCTCAAGTAGTTGGTGCATTAAAATGCCTTCTGGCACTTGTAAATGTAATTTAACAATTTACTTGACTGTGTTTAATTGGATTGTTTTCATATTCTCTATGCCATTCATAAATAGATGTATCATAGCAATAGAGGCATGAATACTCATTCATCAACATGTCGCAAGTGACCTGCATACTTGTTGCATTACCACTACCAAAATACTTTAGATGAGCTTAGCTCAGTAATAATGTAACTTACAGTCTGTCAATATTTGTTAGTGAATAAAAAACCATCAATGGAGAGGTCCCCATAGAAATGGTTTCTCTTCTTTCCAGCCATCAGATTCCATGCACATATGAGGGGCTTTCTTATGTAAGAAACTGATATATTGCTGGACATGTGTAGTTTGTAGTGTGGGCAAACCTTTTGAAAGAAGTCTTGTACACAGAAATTTTCACTGATGTGAAAAGGGAAGAGGAAGATGCTTGCATAAATAGCATGAACAATGAAACAGTTAAGCTCTCTCCATTTCAGGCAACATTCTATACATGAATTCAGTAATTTTATCTTGATGTAGCCCCCTGGAACTTATTGACTTAGATAGAGCATGAAGTAATGAAGTACTATGATCTTATTAACTGATATTATGAATTTTGTCATTATCATTTTATTCTGGAATGATTTAGTTGGTGCTGGTATCAGAAATTAAAAACCCAATTTTTATTGTCTTCGACCCAATGTCTCCTCTTATATGGCTAGATTTTAATAAATGCTTTTTTATTTCCCCAAAAGGGGGCTGAAGGGTGCCTGGAGGGGTCACCTGTTTTAACCACTTGCACCACTATACTATGCTGTATGTCAGTTAGTAGACACTAAAATTATGTCACATGAGGTACGCTTAATGTTGCAATTTGTACTGTCATGACTGTGTTGTATGTCAGTTAGTCAGTCAGTCACTAGACACTAAAATGACATCACATAAGGGACGCTTAATGTTGCAATTTGTACTATTGTGACGTCAGTAAAGCGTGCGCGTGCCATGAATCATAAGAAGAATGATGCACTCTGTAGGCTATGGCACAGCATGACACATGAACTTCAAGAGCAGGAAATAAAAATATTTATTACTCTTAATTTTGGTTTTATTTTCTCTTGAAACAGAACACTTTTGGGGACCCTGCGGAAGTCCATCTAGTATGGTCAGTTATGTGTTGCATACTCAACTGAGCACTACTTGCATATACCTTTAACCATTTAATATATATTGTCTTGATTACAAGTTAAAAAAAAATCCAAAAAATGCTTTCGTTTTCTACAATTAGGCATGACTTTGGTTTGTTAGCTTAGGAACAAAATGTTCTACATAACTTATACTTCAGTTCTTACAAGATACTCAATGTCATTAAAACTTGACACTTTTGCAGTGACAGTAGCACTTCACTTTCAATAGAACACTTTTCTTCTTCTAGAATATTTTGATTCACACTCAATTAAATTTTCTTTCTGGAAAATTCTCAACCATTAGCTGCATTGTAAACAGTGAATAACTTAATGCTTCAATGAATAAGCATACAGTTTCAAGAGATTCAACTGTTAAATAAAAATACTATTTAACACACAGTCAATCAGCATCCAGTCTATAAGTAGTTAAGCTCCCGTATATTCTTCAGTGATGTAGAAAAAAAGAACTTTCAAAAGTTGCAAGAACAGTATCTCAGCAACCTAAACTGTGAAAAAAGCCTAAGAATGTATTTGAGTAAGATTTTTCTCTGTTATAAATAAGTAGAAAACAAAGTGAGATGAACATTAGAGCTGAATATAATCATGAGACTAATTTAAGCCACATTTTTTTGCACATCATGAATTAATAATACAGTGTATATGTGTTATTACTATTTAGCTATGTAAAAGATCCATTATATCCAACATATTTGCTAGGGCCGATTTAGCAAAACAACGGATGGACTTGCTTATTAGCTATACCTAAATGATTTATAATATGATTACTTCTGACAATTTCTTGCATTTTTAAGATTCTCATTTTGGTACTTGTCTAGGAATTTCATAGAAATATCTGACATAATTTGACAGTAGTCAAGCAATGAGCAATCATTTAACTGGTTGTCAACCCATCCTTAATGTTTTTTAAGCCCTGTTGATAGTTGCTGACATTCCTGTATGGCATCAGAATCAGTTCTCTGAAAATTACACTTGCTAGTCAATTTTATAATTGTTTCAGTAGTTTAAATTATGTCAAAATGTTTAAGTAATCTTGAGTTCAGTCTCAGACATTGTAAATCAATTTTTCATCGTGCTACATAGAGATATCTAACAACACATCACACAAATTAAAAATAGCTTTCACTCACAAAGTAAAGAAACATTAAAGCAGAATTGAAAAGGATCACGAGTACTTCAGTGATTGAACAGTTTGTAAAGTTAGTGAAACATCTTTAGTCATGCTCAGTTGCTGATTGGATGAGTGCTTTGAGGCTGGATCGTTCATCCCAAGATAAATGGAAATAAAATATTTTGTTGCAGTTTATTAATGCTGTGGCAGAGCGTAAGAAATAAGTTTTCCCAGATTAATATGTTTCATATTGTTATAATTTGAGAATGACAATACAGAGTCTAGCTGTAAGTCTTATAATTTGATTATTAGAACCATAATCACCAAATCTTTACTGCAGGACTGGCTGAATGAACCAACATCAGTTTTAGAGAAAGCAGCAGTGTTTGAGCTACAGCAGCTGTGGAATACTATGGGACGTCTTTCCCCACTACCCAGGCCAATCAAGAAGTTTGCCTTGCGACATCGCTCTCCCTCAGGGACACATGCACCTAAAACAAGAAGAGCCTCTCATACTGGTAAATGTCTGTAGCAGTCTGTTAAAGTTGGCAATGTTGAAAGAAAATGGACCACTTATATAGAATTAATATTTAGTGAAAACTTTAAAAAAATGTAGGTAATGTCCTATATCTTATGTTGTTGAATTTTTACAGAGGTTGAATACATTATATTGGAACAATATGAACCTCTCCACATCATACAGTCCATATAGCTTATCTGATAATAGTCCTGCAGCATAGTTTCTGCTGCAAGGCTGCTATTTCAAAAGCATACCACTACCTGTGTACTTTCCATATAGTGTATGTGGACAATGGGCTTCACCACCCATTACAAGAGTCTGATCACACAGGACTGCATTTAGTGGCTTGACCATTATGTCTTCATATGGAACAGCATGAATACCCATTTCAACCTCCAGCTGTTTGAGGCATATGAGGTTTGAATTGATACACACATGGAAGCATCCTGTGTGTATATATTACATGTGTCACTTTTCTAGACAGAGATCTTTCTTGATTATGTTGGGTACTGTTGCCTGGGGCACGTGGATGACTTTTGCCACTGACCATTGTGCTCAGGGATTCTCACTTGCTACAAAATACTGTAATTTGCTACTGTGGCTGAGGAATGATGTATTGCAGGTCTCTTTCTGGATGGTTCCTGGTACCCACAAGTTGATCCATATTCCTTTGCATTACAATGCCATTAAGTACAAGAGATATTCATGTCTTGTAACTTTTAAATCCCTTGATTTGAACACATCTCTGTGGTCTGATTATATGAATACTTTGTGTCAGAAATGGCTGTTGCATACCATTCCAAAAAGCAATCAATTTTCAGTGGTGTTGTACTACTTACGAAATGCCAAGTAGTATTGAAATGTAGTTCAGATACCATCTGTTCCACCACAACTTTATATAGTCTGTGGTTGAAACATGACTTTCTGATTTGCATGTTCAAAACTGTTTTAATATAATGTATGGGACTTTATGTATTCCCTATGATTTAGTTTTAAAAGCAACAAAGAAAACCAAGGCAGGTTGCTTAATGTGGAATACAAATATATCCAGTATTGAGTACAAGATGTTTATTAATGTTTTTTTTTGTAATATCTTAAACTACTGCATTCAGTTAATATACACAGAGTTCTTTCCTGGTTATCTTAACACAACTTTCTCAGTTTTTCTCTATTAGATTCTCCCTATACTGCATAAATGGAAAAATAACTCGCGCCTAATGTATATTTAGGATGAAGATAAATAATAGCCTATAACAGTAAAGGGCTGAAGATCTAGTCATTCATTATTTAATATATTAACTTTTGTATAAGCCTAATTTCTATTAATCATACACTCTGTAATGTGATGTCTACATTTTTGCGGATGGATTCTCATCCTCAAAGAGACTACTCCTCCATCCAGCAGTTTTCTAGTATGTGTTTGCATATGTTCAGGATTAAACAAGCCTAGAAAATTGAATTCTATTTTCAGTGGTAACTCAGGATATCATTTTATGTTTTTCTTATGCACATTTTTTTTCATGATCTTATAGCAACCCTTTTTTTCATTTTAATTAATTTTGACTTTGCTTGCCTTTTACTTCTGTTGGCTAAGTTATAGTTTCTAGTTCTTGTTTTTGCTGCTTTATTTTTTCGTATGTGTTTGCTATATACATCAGCGAGTTCCATAAGTAGGTATTCAGTATCATGAACATCACACTATCCATTTAGATTTCCATATTCCTCTTGTGTTGGAGTTTGCATCAGCTTTCAAATTCAGAACTTTTAACTGTGTCTAGGTTAATGTTTTTTATAAGTTATATATCAGAGATGGAATATTCTCTCCTTCTTACTGGTTCTCAGTTTTCTTTATTTAATAGCCTTTCTCCCTTGATTTGGTAGCTTAGACTTGTGTCTTCTCTTTTATTTGTGTTTCATTTTTCATTATCTCCCAAAAGCTGTTCTTGGTTGAAACCTTTTAATTTCTTGAAACCCATAAATTTTTGCACATTCTGCCAGGATTTTTTTCATGATGTTCTAATAATTATTATCATACCTTATAAAATTTCTGGTCTAGTTATAAAAGATGGATAATAACATGGTTTGGATTAGTTTTCAGCCAAAGAGACAAATGTTATCAGACATTGTCACTGTCCAACGGATAAATTGTGATTTTCAGCCAGATGCTGGTAGTGTCTGTCTGAATTTAAGGAGTTAAGTAGACCGTTTTTTTTTTGCAAGTTCTGCCCTTTTTCTTCTTGTTTTTTTTAATGTGTCAAGTAGACCTATATGCCACTGAAGCTGCAATTAGAAAAAGAACATTGCTATTATGGTTATATGCGTGTGCGTATAATTACAAAATGTATTTATTTTCCTCCTCAGATGAAGTGCCCAAGTCTGTTGCTGCATGGCGTGGTAGAGTAGTTCATGGTCTAAAAATGTTTAACTCAACACCAGCCAAAGGGACTAGGTCAGGTTTACGTCTTGAACAATACCAGGGCTCACAAAATAATCAGGTTAGGGTCTTCTGATTGAAAGTTTATATAACCAATGAAAGAGAACTTTGTATATAACGATTTGGATTCAGTTTGAGCTTTGTGGAAGTCAGATTATGTTTTCATGAGTATTCTAAAACATACTTTGGTACGAGATATATTTATACATTTTTCATTGCAATTTTGAATTTGTGTTTCATGTCTAGCTGTTTTTTAGTTCTTGCTCAGAGAAAATAAGACCACTAGTTGATGTTTCATCTATTTAATTTTCATAGTTTTGATGAACAGTAGAAATCAAATCATAATGTAATTAAACATGAAATATGAGCTAATCACTTTCAGGCCTCTCGGGAAACCTTTAAAACTGTATAATTTCTCAAAAAGCCTGTAATAGCCCATAAAGGCCCTTTTTTATGCTTCAGTGTGTAAAAAATGTATATTTGCAGAAATAAAATTTTTTGCTTTTCATTTGAAATGTAAAATTCAGTTTTTAGTTGTAGCTGTCATACATGTGCCCAAAAGCAGACACTCATTGTGGCTAATGAAACATCAATATTCTCACTTACAAGGTAAGAAAGGTTATCCACAATTGGTTGGTAGAAGTTGGGAAACAACAAAAGGACAATCAGTTATAATATAGTATCTTTAAAGAGATTTTGTTAAATATATCTTGTATTTCAGTCAATTCCAGACTGAAATTTGTTAAATTTAGCTTTAATTTAAAGGCTGACAGCAGGAAATACTGCTGGGAGACCTGAAATTTAACTATTAATTCAAGGAAGCACTACTTCTGTACATTATTTATATAAGAGTTTGGTAAGTGATAAGCTGATTAGTGATAAGTCCTTGGAATATTCATTGATGTCATACACAAGCTGATTTGTTCAAAATAGAACTTTTCTCTGATATTAAGATACCTGGTTACTTGTTAAATATTTGATAAAGTATTGGAATACTAGATCAGTAATTTGTGATATAGTTTTGAATAGAAAAAAGTTTCTAATCATGAGTTTTTATTTTGTTCCTTGAAAACTAGTTTGTTCCACTGATAGTAGATCTGTGTATCGGTATTGTTGAAACCCGAGGGCTAGACACAGTTGGAATCTACAGAGTACCAGGAAATAATGCAGCAGTCAGTTTATTAATCAATGCTGTCAACCAACAAACAACCACTATTGACCTCCAAGATGCTCACTGGAATGATGTGAATGTTGTCTCTAGTCTCTTGAAAGCTTTCTTCCGAAGGTTGTCAGAACCTCTCTTTACTTCTTCTCTGTATCCACAGTTCATTGCTGCCAGTAAATTAGATAACCCAGCTTCAAAACTTCAAACAATTCATCAATTGGTAAAGTCATCATTGAGCTTGTACTGTCAAGAGTTATTATTGTCTTCAAAGTCTGTGTAATATCTGTTTGTCATTATATTTGTTTCCAACAAGGTACCTTACTTCTTCTCACATGCATAGCTATTCTTCTTCAGTGCTGCCCTGTATTTGCAAAAGTATTTTTGCATGCCACAAGTCTTTCACTCCCACGCACCCCTCAATTTACATTGTTTAACTGATTCCCACATGCCAATTATCATGAGACAAACCACCACCAATAGTAGTGCCACACACATCCATGTAACTTCCTCTGTGCTATTCTACATAACCATAACTTCTATGTTGGCAGTACTCTTGTTCAGGTGTTTAGTCTGTGCTTTCTTCAATTGTTTTTTTTTTGTATCTTCATATCAATATCTCTCAAGTTTACTATTTATTATACAATAATGATATTTGTAACTTATTCTGAAGTGGAATTATTTTATATATTTCTACCGAGTTATGGAACATTTTTCTACTTTCTATTTCTTTCTGCCAACACGGTTGTGTTTAGTTATTCACTTTAAATTATGAATTCTAAGTTACCACTTTGGATGTTATATCTTTTATCAGCACATTTACACAGGCTTCAGATGGCGGTCCTCAACAGGGGAATTATCAGCTGTACTTCGTTGGGAAATTTATCATCCAATGAGTTGACTTGAGTTTGGGTGCCCACACATTTTAAAATATAGTCCGCCGAATTTGGAAACATAAGACGCTATACTATTATAGTTTTTAATATTTTTACTGTTAATATTATTATCTGTAGTTATTTGAATTCAATGACATAAGTTTAGTTAGATTGGTCAATACTCATAGTCAAGTTCAGGTTTGAAATTAAAGCTTATTTTTATCCTTTGTCCTATAACATTAGGTTAGGCTTAACATGGGTCTTTGTTATTTTAGGATTACCTGTAATTCATCTTACTGGTATATCATAAGATTAGGTTAACTGTATTGTTTTTTCTTCAATACATCACATCTCATACATATGTTCTTGTCAATACACACTTACGTACTTTTACAATATAACGTTTATTTCATTTTCGTTAGTATTTATCTTTTATACTTCTTCATTTTACCTTTTTTTGTGGGGTCTGCACAAACTTTTTCTCCCAATATTATACAGACATATTGTTAGGATAGGTTTTTTTACATTAGAGCTTAGTGATATAATTTGTTCTGCACAGATCAATTAGGCTTAACAGTTGTTTGTTATTTTCATTTTATCTGTAGTTCATCTTGCGAGTAAATTGATAATTAGGTTAAATATCTTGTTTTCTTCAACAAATAGCATCTAATCCATATGTTTATTTCACTATACACTTATTTAAATTTACCTTATCTCAACTATTTCATTTTTGTAATTCTTTATAATTTATGCTTCTTACAACCCTGGGGGTCGGGGTCTGCCCTTCTTTCTCTCAATATTGCTTACCTTTCTCCTTCAACTGCCAAACTCGTTTAGGATGACCTAAGTTTTGTCAGTTTTCCTCCACCTGATTATAGCTTGCCTTCCCATGCCTCTACTGTGGAATCTGCTACACCTACCTCAGCCTTTTTTTTTAAGACATGTTTCACAGTATAATTTTCCCCCCTCCTTCTCCAGACATTATGTTTTATTATGAGCATTTTTGTCTCTCTTTTGGGAGAAGGTATTTGCATACCTCACCCTACACACATTTTGGTTCATTTTGCCTTAGCTTACCATCAAGCAGATTTTCTTCTTTATACTATGTACTTAGAATCTTTTGCCTGTATGGGGGGCAGTCTCTGTTTATCCTCTCCATTTTATCCCCCATCTAGTTTTCCAGCTTTGTTTTACTTTATCGACTTTCCTACAGAAAATATCTACCTTCACTTCCTTCCTAAGGCATTCCACCTATATCTAGGGAATTTTCGTGGGACACATCCTCCTCTTCCCTCCATTTGATTTTGAGTTCTTCTGGAATGGGACACTGTCGTATACCATTCATTTACCATCCACTTCTAATAGGGACTTACTGTTGGCTCATTTTCTCCACCAGTTTGTGTTTTAGGGTTACTCCTGTGCATTTAGCATCATGTTGGGCTTCTGTGATGCTGTATTCTATTTATTTTGGTTGCTTGTTTCTTTCATTCTGTGACAATGACACCTTTATTCATATTCTATGTCTTTCATCTTCCTGTCCTTTACCTGTCATATCCATGGGTTTCTCCATTCTTTGTGTATGTTTGTGGGTCATGGTGGGTACACTTGTTGGTTGCTCCACTTCCTCCTCTTGCGCGACCCCTCGATGTCTTTTATGCCGAGAATATTACTGTGTTTGAGGTGGTTTCAGTCTGTTTGGTTTGAGTGGGATATATATGCATTTCATTTTGCTCACATGTGCCCTGTTCACAGATTGGTGGTGGCATTTCTCCCTCTGGTCAGTTGAACTTGAGGTGAAGATGGTTGAGTTTTAGATTGTAGTTGACTTACCGATGGTATGATCCTCATCCTACCCCACATGGAAGTTGGTTCCCGGTGGTCAAATTTTGGATGCCATTGACTTTCCATGTACAGTCCGTCGCACTCTAGCCACTCTGCACCTTGGGGCACATCCCTTATTTTACTTACATTCTGTTCATTAAGGAGATTCATATTCTAATATAATGTGCTTAGGATCACTGTCCAACCCTTTTCTCTCCCATTGGGATGCATACTTCATAATTTTTTGCCCGGATCTGTCACACCTTTTCCACCTCTGGGTGAAGAGTGTACCTGATACAGAAGTGGTGAGGTCTTTCACGTATAATCCTCTTATTAGAGAATGTTCTTCAGATGCTTCTACTTTCTCCCTTGCACCAGTCCTTCCACCTATTCAATGTGGTATTCTAGCTATGTATGAGAGCAGAAGTAAGGTACCTTGTCAGAAGTTATCATTTTCCTACATTGAAAATGTATTTCCAACAGGTACTTACTTCCCCTCACACTTCCCAACCTTCCTCCCTACTGTCAACCAGTGCTTATGTTTCTGCCTAAACTCGAAGTGATAGTTAGGTAGAATAGTATAGAGGGAGTCACATGAGTGTGTGGCACTACTATTGGTGGAGGTTTGTCACATGATAATTTGCATGCAAGAATCAGTTAAACCATGTGCATTGAGGGGTGCATGGGAACGAAAGGCTTGTGGCATGCAAAAACATTTTTGCAAATAGAAAGCAGCACTGAATGAGAATGACTGTGCATGTGGGCAGAAGTAAGTACCTGGCAGAAATACATTTTCAGTGTAGGAAAATTATGACTTTCATTATATCTAATGGCTATGTGTTTATGCAATTTTGTGCAATTTTCTAAAAGTGTATAATTGCATTTGTTTTTTTTATTTCAAAACTGTAATCTATAAATTATCAAAATAAAAGGTACATAGACATGATTAGTTTAAAAACCATTCTTCACATAGAGAAAAATGCAAATAATAATAGTGTCAGCTGAATTCAGTATTTTCAAAAACAATAGTTATTAAGGATGTGCATATTATATTATTCTTTATGAATTTCATGTGATTTGATGTTATGCAGTGTTCAACATAAGCCAAACTGCAAGAGAATTTAAGCTTCTACCTTAAAAGTCTTTAGTGTTATCACTCTGACTGAGAGGACTTGAATACTTTTTTATAATATGAATAATTGTAGTGAGATGTTTGAATTCTAGAATTAATATGTTCAAACACTTATGATAATATACTTACAATAGTTTTTTTTCAGATTCATCTTCTTCCTCGTCATTACTTTGAGACACTAAAATGTATAATGAGCCATTTAAAGAAAGTTGCGATTCATGCCAATAATAACAAGGTTGGTAATAAAATATAATTTTTGTGTTCTAAACAACAATCTTGTGAATATTCATTTGTCTCTTTTTTTTTAATTATGTGATAATTTCCTGATATTCATAAAAAAAACCTGTTGTTCATCTTTTAAAAAGGTAATTTTGTAAGTAAATGAACCATCTAAGAAACTGAAATAAAGCTTTGGAAATATTCGTTTACAGCTGAAATAAAAAGTGAAGTGCCATTTGACATATTTTCAAACTGATTATTATTTTTTCATTGGGGTATCCTTCTGGAGAAGTACAAATAAATCATCAGTCAGTAAAACAAAAATGTTTCTTTGCATTTTATTGATTTATGTTTTCTTTCAGAACTTTGATATGTTGAAGGACAAATTAAAAACAACTTGATGTCAACAGAAACATTTAGATATCAAACTGACAAATCTTTGAAATTCTGTTGAAACTATATAGATTATACACCAATATTAACTTAAACTCTTCATAAATGAATGCCAGTGTAGGTTATATAGCTTATTGTGTGAAGTGTTTTATTTTCATCTATTGATAATATCCTTATGAAGTTTTCAGTATTGTTTGACTTTGCTTATTTGGCCTAAATATGACATTGAGTATGTCTGTTAGCAAGAATTATTCAATCTGACTGGTTGTAATTCATCCATTAGGTAGGTGTTTAAAACTGTATTGTTATGATGGTGATAAGATCTCTCAGAACAATTTACTTAAAGATTTTTTTAAGTTCTCGATAGTCATCAGTAAGCAAAACTGACTAATATACATTACCTTTTTACAATTAGCTGTATTTCACTGTCACATATTCAGGATCGATCTGTAACTAGGGTTTAAGTGTATGATCTCTGTTAGTGAAGATACCTAAGATACAAAATTAACATAAGAATTATAACATGGCTGTTTGAAAACTCTTATAGAGATTTTATAGAACTCTTAAATACAGGTGTTTCAGTCATACAAGTGTTAATCACTAACCTATTTTTAGATATAGGTTTGGTTCTTTAAAAAACTATATATCCAGGGATAAAAATCTAAACTAAAAAAGTAGAAGTACTCAGCTGGGCAGAGGGGACCTGTTTTTGAAAAAGAAAACAAAATCTACATGTTAACATAAAAAAATGACAAAGCAGCTCAAATAAGTCCTGGTACTAGTACCACCTCAAAAAATAAGTTCCGATGCTCAGTACCAGAATTTTGCCCCTGTATATACACATATATATTTATATATACCTTTTCAGATGGAAGCTCGTAATCTTGCTATTGTTTTTGGGCCTACCTTGGTAAGGTCAGCAGACAACAATATGGTCGCTTTGGTTACAGACATGCCCCATCAGTGTTGTATTACAGAAACCATCATTAAAAATGTAAGTTCTAAATTGTTTGCTTAACTGTGTACTGTGTGTATATTTTTTGGGAATGTAAATTTAATGCTTTTTTTCAAAATTACCAGAAAGAATGCAAATATTTTTTCAAACTGTATTACTGAATTTACCACCGTAATATCTAGAGTGTGAATACTACACACATTTTAAGTTTTTGCTGGAGGGAAACTGTAAAATGCTTAGTTAACATTTTTTATGTGAATGTATCAGAAAAACATTGCATTCTTAGGTTTGTTATGTATGTTAGTTTCACTAAAGAAAAACTTCAAAGAGTGAAAATATATATATATTATGTATACATTTTCAACAAGACATTGTTCAAATAACAGGCTTTTGTACCGTGATATGTGTTGCTGAAAACCACAGTTTTATCAAGGAAAATCAGGTTGGATCTCTGTGAATCATAGATGTTATAGTGTATTACAGGCCAAAAGGAAATTTAATTAATTCTTTTTACTACTGTGTGATTACTACATAATGTTTAAGCATGTACTTTCTTGAGTATTTACAGAACCTCATCATTATGAGAGAAATGTTTTATACAAAAGTTTAGTATAAGATGATGGTCACTTTAATATAAAATAGTATAAGATGATGGTCACTTTAATATAAAATAGTATAAGATGATGGTCACTTTAATATAAAATTACTTCATTTGAACATAACTTGTGTCTTGCTATAATATATTGTTGTATTTACATCATTAAGATGACAGATAATCTTAATTCAAGAAATACTAGCATATTTGTTTTTTAAGGCTCATAACATAGGTAAATTAATATGTAGAATTATACATTGACTTTTCTCCACATTAAAATACTTTTATTTGCGAGCTTTTTCAGCCCTCTTACTGTTGCCTCATGAAAGCTCTGGTAAGAGAGCCAAAAGTTTGTAAATAAAAGTATTTTAAATATGGGGAAAAGTCCGCATTTAATTCTATAAATTCCAGCACATGTTAATATTTGTATTTTCTGTATTTTTCTGTGAATGTGCTGTATTAACCAGTGCAATTTTTATATACATCATAGAACTGGAGTTGTTATAAGCTGTTTACAACTGCCATTAAGTTTAGTATGGTACAGCTTTATTCCTTATTAACATTGTATATAGTAGGAAAATGTTTTGTTTCTTTTACATTAGTCCTTATATTGACTAGAATTGTTTTTATTTTGAAGTTTGATGTCCATTGAAGAATATTTACAGCAGTCTCTTACTATTAAATAGAAAAATTTATTTATAGGCAGAATGGCTATTTACTAAGTCACCCACAGAGAACCTAGCAAACTTGCCAGATAATTATGTAAAAAGATCATCTGAACCCCTCCCTGTTGCTGAGCAAGAAGTTTTACTTCAAAATATTCGTAAGATAGATGGGGGAACTGCTGCTGCTGGTGAGTTGATAATTCTGTGAACTTGTCAATCTGCCATGTTTACTTTTTAATGCTTTGATATCATTGTAATTCTTATCAAAAGCTTTATGATTTTCTATGATATCAGCATGACATCTATAGCTTTTTAGTGTTTGTTAAGCGTCAAATAATGTATGTGTGAAATTACTGCCAAATTCCATTTTTGTTTTCATATTTGCTAGTTATTTCTAGAGGAAATGTATGCTAAATTATTTTTTGACTTTTAAGGATAAATCAAGTAAAAAAATAGCTTATAACAAAATAATTCTTCGTATTCGAAAAATATATATTATCCAATTAGCATGAAATTATACAAGTTTATAAACTTATTTTTTTATTTCTCAAAAGGAAAAATTTATCTATAATAGAAAACTCAATACAATATTACCTTTGATGATTGTCATGGGTAATCCATGTGATGTGAAGATGGTAAAAGTTTTTTTTTTTTTGTAGGAATTAGTGGACGAGAGTTTGTCTCCTCTCTAATGAGTGCAGCTCATCAAAAAGTATGGCATCGACAAAAGAAAGCAGCCATTCATGCTGATGAGCAGATCATTAGTAATGAAAAAAAATATTCTGTAACTGGCCGACAAAGAAAATTCTTAGAATATCAAAGCCTAGAACCTACCATGCACAAACCAATAATGAGTCAATTCATGTTTGTTCCTTGGAGTCATGAAAAGTCCCTGAAATTGCCCAAGACACTTCCAGACATGCCCATCATGTCTGATAATTGCTCCAGTTTCACTTCTTTGTCATCATTCTGTACAAGTGAACTTGCATCTGATCAGGGGGACTCTGACTCTCAAGTTGAGAGAAGAACTAAAGAAAAAAGAAAACCATTTGAAAAAATTGATGATGGTGTAGTCCTCCACACTTATGAAGAGGTGTCTGCTTTAACGAAAGAAAGAATTAAATCTTTTGAACAAGAGACTAGAGCTATTCTTCAGCGGGATATATACAAACATCAAGAAAAATCCAGTCATCACCAGATGGCTAGGGAGCAAATTGAACGAGAATGGCGAAGAGCCAAGCAAGAAATCGAACAAGATGACTTACTTGACCAAGTAGCAGATAACCCTTCTTTTTTTGCTGATTTATATTCAGACCAAAGGCATGTAGGTGAGCAAATCATGTGATATTCAGTTTTTATTTGTACACATATATAAAAATGTTTTTCTATGCCTCTGTAAGAAAATCAACAGAGATTAGATGAAAATATCAGAGTGCAGAGTTTGTTCCTTATGGGAAAACAAATTAAATATCATGAAAAATGATGGTGGTTCGTAATAGGGATTGCAAAGAATTGCACAAAACTAATAGAATGTTTGGACTAAAAGCACCATAAACAATAAAGATTCAGTTCAAACAACACTTTAACCCTGCATTAGTCTTCTGTAAACATTTTTATAGTCACTCTTCCAGAATCCGAGTGGACCCTATCATAAAAAATTAATTTAAAAATAGTTAAAGAATAATAAACTATTATTTTGGAAACAAAAAGCGCTAATACTCAGTCTTTTTCCTTATTAATCAATAAATGAACATTGAATATTACAACTTGTTTCTTTTTTACCACCTAAACTAAGTGTAACAATTTAACACAAACTAACCAAATACTGAAGCTACTGAGAACAACAAACATGTACATGCTTCCATCTGTCGGTGCCGATGTTTACAAAATATTTGGGGTCCATTAAGATTCCAGAAGACTAACGCAGAGTTAAAACCTTTACTCTTGACTGCTGAAGCTGTACACATAAAAATGCACAAATAAAGCATGCATGTTAGTCTTACAAGGAAAAGAAACTACTCAAAACGGCTCATTTGTAATTATTATTATTACTCTCTTGCCAGACTACAACAAGAATGGCTTGGTATATTGCACCAGAACCTTTTGTAGAATACTAAATAAGGTACTGAGAAGGTTGTAGAGGTATTGCAAAGTGAATTTCTTTCTTTTATATTTTACATAAACTGAACAACATCATAATTTTAGTTTAACCAATGTTATCATTACCCCTTAAAGTTAGTTTTTTAAACAAATATCTGGTTTTCCTTTAAAAAGCTTAAGTACAGGGTCAAACAGGAATTACCAGCCAATAATAGATAAACATTAAGTGGCTGTAACATGTAGATACTCAATGCTTTGTACATTATACAATCAGTGTCTTTAGGGAGCCAACCCCTATATTACTTATGAAGTGAAGGAGTAAAAATCCCATCAATAAACGTAATATTAAATTTTATTCCACACATTTGTTGAATAATTGCTTTAAAAGATATGAAGATTTATTTAAAGTGAATTTTTTCGATGCATATGTTTTATTTGAAAAGGCTGCTTTTTCTAATGGTAAAATCTTATACACACTTAGAATGCATTGTGTCTTAGTCTAGGCTTATATTTGCCCATTGCTATGCATTATATAGAGAGAATTTATTTACACAGAAACTATAAATGCTCACTGTATTCTCAAACAAATCTCCATGACAATCGTTAGTCTCAGCTTAACATTTTACATCTTGAACTAAAACAATCAGATAGTCAATAGCTACATTAAAATCATCATGAACCGTATCAGCTAGCTACTAGCTATGTTTTTTTATCATTACAATGTATAAAGTTAGCTACCATATCAAGTAATTCTTTGCCTATAGTTGAGCATAAAAAAACCAGCAAGAAAGATAAATAAAAGAATTGGAATTTAAAAAAAGTAAGCAAACAAGGCTGAGGATACTGTAGACATTATTTACTCAAACTACAAATCCCTATTTTTTCTCCACCAAATACAATTCTAGGTAACAGTGTGGAGCCAAAATAGGGGTTTGTAGTTTGAGTAAATGCTGTCTTCAGTATCACCAGCCTTGTTTGTTTAATTTTTTTATGATCCCTATTTACAGGTTTTTAAATTCCCAATTTTTTATTTATCTTGAAATATTTGTTGGTAAATAGTCTGTGTTTTTAATTTCTTAATTAAAAAAGTTTATATGAGTAGGCATTTTTTTTAGTTTTACTAGACCTAGATTTTTTTTTCTATCAGGTTATATTGGGTGAAGAATAAGAATCATTCAACATTCCTGAGGACATTTGCTTTCACATTGTTGAAGCTTAATTTATACTTTTATGTTCTTCTTTTGCTCTGTTTTTCTACTTTTGAATTGGTGTTTAATTTAAAATTAACTTTCAATTTAAATTTTGTTTTAGAGGGCTGAACTTGATTTGTTTTCACTAATGTTAATCATCTAGATTTAACCTTGGGACAATTTATAAAACCTAATTTCTTGATTAATCATACACATGTCCCAAAATTAGATCACTTTAATTTAGAAAAGAAATTAATATATATTTTACTAAATTTATTGTCAAATTTGCTAATACAATTTAGCAGTCCATCTAAGTGTTGTCTGTCTATGCCAGTGCTTTCTTTTTCATTTTCTGATGAGAGAGGAGCATAAAAGAGCATGATTTATCTTTTGTGTTGGCCAGCACTTCTGTTTGAAGCTGTCAATCAATAACTTAGAATGTGAAGTGAACCATGATAAATGATAGAACAAGCAATTTAATGCCTTTTTTTCATCGAAAGTATCTCAAGTATGCACATATTTGGGATTCAGAATGAGCATGCCATGACCCTTTACAGAGTACCATTCAACATGGTATTATATATGTGGTGTCAGACTTATCAACTATTCATTTTACTCTACATTGCTAATTTAGCAACAGTTCGTGGTAGTTAAGATTAGATACATACCAGGTACAATGTACAGAAATACTGAAAACTACTGTAGATATGCATTTCAGAGGTTATAGAAATGCAATATGTCCAATAATGAAAAGTATTTTTAACCGTTGGATGAACACCAACTTTGTACTCTGACTGATCTGAGTCTGAATCAGACTGATGTTATCAATTTACAGACATATTTTGAGTACAAATGCTTTTGTAACACATCTGATAGTTTGTGTACAACAGAAATGTATATTTTATTCAAAGCTTGCCATATTTCATGTAAATAGATACAGTATATTCAGAATAATAATCAACACCCTTTCTCCAATATGGGGTCTGTCCAATTGACTGAGCCTGTGCACATTGGTTAAGTAATCGGTGACAATGTAACCTAATAAGGATAAGACATGTATATGTACATTATATTCAGTTAATGTATTATTGGCTATTTTGTTAATGTTCTAAGCATATATTTAAAGTTTCAATTAATTTTCTGCCATTCAGGATTAAACTAAGAAATTATTATATCTTTATTTTCTTTTTGTTAGATCAACACAGAAGAATGAATTGCCATAATGAAACAACAAAAGAAGTTTTTACCACCACTAATGTCAAGAAACCTCAGAAAATTGAATTGTCTACTTGCCACGGTGATTCTACTCAGTCAAGTTTAAAACATCTTTCATGGACACAAACAGAAAGAATCTCTGTGCCTGGAGAAGGTGGATTGGTGTCTGAGCATTCCAGGATGCTTGCCCAAAATTTCCCAAGATACAGCAGACAACAGAATCATCCTCAGATGAAGAAATATGCCTCAACCAATGGAACTTGTGGAAAAGTATCAACCAGTATTCTAACTGACCAGAAAGCTTTACCTGCAACCACTAAACATGTACTTTTTAGAAGCGAAGCTAGAAAGCAAATGGAACACCGATCATTCTCTAATGTATATCTACCAGAAGCAGGGAATAGACAAAATACAACTTCCATTACAACTAGTCTTGTATCTTCTGGTATTCCTACTGGTGAAACTTCTGCCACTGTCTGTAGTCAGGGAACGCATTGTTCATCCCATCAATTTGTTGGTTCACATCCAGTGTACCTAGAGGTCTGTGGAAGGTCTCAGTCAATGGAGTCAACAGTATCTTATCATGGAACTTCAAACACACTTTTACATTCAAATCTTAGTCATTCAGGTGAAGTTATTCCTACTTCTTTAATTCCATCTTCATCTGGAATTAGCCCTCCACTATTGCCCTGGCAGCAAAGTAATGAAATTGGTCACACTCATGACTCCCAATACACTGTAAGTCAGGGAGATGCATCAAGACATCTTCCTTCTCACCTTTTGTCTTGTTATCAGCACAGACACACCAAAAGCAGTTCTGTGGATCTTGATAATGAACAGCCTGTATTATCTAAGAAAGTGAAAATGTAAAATGAATATAAAAAGGCTAGTCATGAAATAAACTTGCCAACTTAAGTCACCCATCAGTCAACAAAGTGGTGTTCTCCGAAAAATATATTTTGCTTTGCTTATAGTAGATCTGAAATTATGTGCAGTTATGATGTATTGTGCAATATATATATATATATATATATATCAGTACAAATGACTAAATAATAACTGTTTCTGTGCCTCAAGCTAATAATATCTTCACCATTACTAGAGATAGCTTATACCCTGTTATCCAACAATAGTTTTATTTATATGCCTTTAGAAGAATTGTTCTGGAAGTAGATGGTCTTAGGTAGTTGTCCTGCTCATGTGGCTTTCTTACATCATGGCTATTAAACTAGATTACTCATTAATCAGTTTAGTACAAGATAAAAAGGAAGAGATAAAATTTAAATCACAGAATTGAAAACTCTTGTGGTTTAAAGTATATGTAAGTGATGTTTTAAATCCACATAGTAATAGTGTGATTTAAGAATGGAAATAACAGAGCTGTTGTCTTAGGGACATTTCAGTACATCAGACAGAAGGAAGGTTGTTGTACTAGGGTAATAGCACATGTTTGTAATATGAGAAAACTGGTTTTTAGTAGTGAGTTCTTACATGAGTATATAGTTTCAGGTGTATAAAATAGTTCTCTTCCACTTATATAGTCAGTTGTTTTGATTAAGGATGGACTTAGGCTTCAAAGTACAAATACATTAGTGAATTTTCTTGATGTCCCATTGCTGTAAACTGTTTCTGAAGTTTAAATTTAAAGCATTGAGTGTTAATGTTTTGTTACTTCAATAAGTATAACTTCTTATTTCCAGTTTTGATGCATTCCATTAGAAATGTATTATTGGAAGTTTTAAGTCCTCTGTGGTAGAATTTTTTTAGATAATTGATAGCAGAATATTTTCATCAAAATAAAGTTACAGCATAAATGGTCCATGAATAGCATGGTATTTCTAACCAGGATCAGCTGTGAAAAGAAATGATTACTTTCCTTACTTACAGGTAACTACTAAAGGTGGTGAGTTTCAACAGTAATGGCTAAGACACTAGTCTCTGACTTTATAGTAGCAACGGTTAGAATTGTCTTTAAAAGTATTTTTAATTAGTTGAATATTCCCAATCAAATAAAATTCAGGACTTTCGGTTAACTTGTATTACATGATTATGAAAGGTATCTTTTAATTCATTAGAAAATTAAAACTCAGGCACTCTACTCTTGTCTTCCTCAGCAATCATTTTTGACAAGTTGTATCCAATGCTTGTGGAAATAGGAGCTTAACAACTCAGACATTGGACTCTTGTCTTCCTTAGCAATCATTTTTGACAAGTTTTATCCAATGCATGTGGAAATAGGAGCTTAACAACTCAGACATTGGACTCTTGTCTTTCTTAGCAGGCATGTTTGACAAGTTTCATCCAGTGCATGTGAAAATAGGAGCTCTGCAGTAGCATGAGTCTACTTTTCGGTTACATTTGCATACCTTTTGTTGTTCCTACTGTTTATGTGGCAGAAACATTCATCTTAAAATCAATAAATCTTTTTATCTTGCTTAATTTTTTACAAATCTTTATTTATTTATTTTTGTTATTAATGCTTTTGTATAAGTACTGATTTGTGATCTCTGTTACAAGGTTCCCTGTTGATTCTTGTACATTTTTAATTGTGCAATTTTGCAAAATACAAGTTAAATATTAAAGCCCATTGTAAGCATAATGAAAGATTATATGGGCTCATTAATGGTTGTAGACGGCTTGAATGGGTAATAAACATTTGCTGTTATGTTAAACTTATATTAAAGCTTTTCTTCATTATCAATTCAAGCCGTCTCCAACCATTATAAGTCTCAAAGTGGGTTCCTCGTCATCGAATATGGGCTAATTGTTTTACCTGTCAAATGCCATACAAATATGTCAGTTAGTTTTTGTTAGTACATTGTCTGTGGATAACTTCATATATTTCCATTCTGTAAAAAAAATAGTTTATGTCAACAAAATATTAAGTCTGTTAATATATTATATTTTTCATGAGCTAACACATCTGTTAATATATTATATTTTTCATGAGCTAACACATGTATAGGTAATTGTGGACGACTTATTCTCAGTCATGCGCTTTTGTTTTGTTGTTTCATTAGAATGCATTTCATGTTAGTTATCTACCTTGTTCTTTACTTCGTTAACAAGTATCATCGTTATTCTGTAGACAAGTGTTCTTGAATATGTGTTCGCATCATCGATATTTCAGATATGGAATTGTTACAGTTGCTTCTACTCATTCAAGGTGAAGTTTGTTAATAAACTAACAAGGAAATAGTTTTTGTTCAGTGATTTACAAACGATCTGATACTGTAATCGGTTTCCTTAACTATCTTCGGGGATAGAAGAACCGAGTATCAGCTGTAAAATCTGAAGAAAAAAAATCTCCCATGTGGTTTACGTGTTCTTTGATAGTTCACTATAGTGTTAAAAGTAAGTTTTTCTAATACCTTATGTTAGGTTAATAGTTGACATCCTTTGTCATCGTGACATTCTGTTGTTTTGATCATCGTACCAAATTGTTAAATGAACTTCATTTGTGTCTTGATTGATGTAATCAACTGATCTATGGCTGTAAATAGTGAAATCAGTCGTCTGGAACCTGACTCCCTCTTCATCCTTAACATTTTTCATTTCACCTTAATGAGATATTAGTTTAAACACTTGCAGACAAATACGTTCAAATACCTATTCGCTATAAGTATATTAAATTTAAACCACTTAAACCCTTGGGAAAGCGTTTAGATTAACTTGGTATACGTATATATAGTTTGGATAATATATGAATCACCTTTTCCTCTGTATACTACTAATATTTACATCTAGAGTTTTTGTTTCGCACTCAAGTAAATCACAACAAATCTTTTCTATAAAATATACAATGTGATAAATTTCACGCCAAATTAATCGTTTTATGCAAGCTTTAGCAATATCAGAAAACAAGATTATATTTACAAAATAAACGTACTGCTTGACCCCACTAGACAATCAAGAAACATAAATAGAAATAAATACTTGTTTTACGTGCTCTGATCTTAATTGTGCTTTCGTCTTTTACGATTCAAACAAATTAAAAAAATCTGACCAGAAATTTAGTTAACTGTTGCCAAGACGTGTCACAAAATATGTTCTCAAAATACGTAAAACGTAACTTTGTGGTTATACTTTGGTAAGTTTACGGACTTACAACGCCAAAATCTATGGGCGGTGGACAGCGGATAGTCCAATGTGGCTTTGCTCTATAAGAAACAATATACTTTGGTTTCAATAAAATATGAAATATTAGCCCATTTTCGTTTGAGGCTTGTGAGTTTATTAAAATTGGGAAATTCTAATTGGTCGTTAAGTTATTTGAACGCTGAGTGTAAATGTTAAAACGTTTGAAAACAACGTTTCAGCTGGTACTAAAACTTGAAGCGCTCATTGTAATACGAATAATTTTTCTTTGTCTGTATGACTAGTACAGTTAATTGTTGATTCTGCTATAAATAGAGAAATGTGCATTTCAAAAAGGAAAACTACAAAATTAAACGTTTCGGAATACCATGTATCTTGGATAAGGAATACAAATCGCACGACGTATGACGAACGAGTAGAAAAGACTTGGAGAATATCTTGCGAATGTTCGGTTTTGTTTAAATCAAAATAAGTAATGAGCGTCTTAAGTGTAGTTTTTCGCGAATAGTTTACGCTATAGCTATCAGCCAGACGAATATGTAAAACAAAATACGCGCAACGTATTGATTAAAGGTTATTGCTTTGAATATAAAACGCTATGATAAGAAAACTGTTAACATATAGTAATTTTTGGTAACGTTGAATTTCTTGAAGTGTTTATCATTTTTCATTTCTTTTGTGCGAACATATTTTTAGAAGTTGTTAAGCAGAAAACCCAGCTTTTTAAGTTGTAAAGAAAAAATAATCCCAGTAAACCGTGTGTGAAGTGTACAAAGTGAAATATGATTATACATGTAACAAAAATATTTACCCAGTATTGTGCTTACAATTCTGAGGAATGGATATCATTCATAGGCATTATATCAGTCATTATACTGTATGTATGAAAGTTGTCAAATAGACATTTAAATTGGTGTGATACGTATACCTTGCAGTGTTGATCATGTGTCCATCATGTGTTATGATACTCATGAATTAATTAATTTTTGGGCCTGTATTGTAGACTTCACTATAAATATATGGGCTTGTGGTTCGTTGTAAACCTGACGTGCAATCACAAACTTGTAGATTCCATCCCCATTATATTATGAATTATAAAATAAACGTTTCGTACAGACTTGTGAGTGAGAAATACATTTTTTTAACTGTCAAATGATCGAATTGATTTTATACCGGTCATTACTAGCGGAGTCCTCGTGTTGCATAATATTTACTAATTTTATGTTATAGTTTTCCAGAATGACTGAGACAAGGTGTTAGTATTACTAATGGTATAATTATTCGGCTCCCCAGTATTACGAAAAAATTGGGACAAAAAATACTAGAAGTAAAAAATAGAGGTACTTCCAAAACATCTCAAAAGTGCCCTCCTGACACCCAAGTGGCTAGAGTATTCGGGTTCGGGGGTTCGAATCCTGGTAATTCCACAAAAACCTTTCTGTTTGTGACGCATACAAAATATCTGATATAACACCTGACGAGGGCTGGAGAATTCACTGGTCGAAACGTTGTAAAAATATAATGCACATAATAAAGACCAGAATAATAATCCGAATAATTATACCATTAGTAATTTTATGTTATTGTCTGTTAAACATTCGGTGCAAAGAATTAACAAAAAATACGGTAAAATCACTTATTTTCTATGTAAAATGCATAAGGGTCCCTAGCAGTAATTCATAAGATTAATTGCAATACTTATGGTATTTTTGTTGACTGTTTTATTTATATTTGGGTGTGTGACTTGTGTTATTGAAGACCCCGTAACCAATAAAGCCATGGGACCTCAAGCAGTTTGGTACATAGATAGTTTTAGACTCCATCGGTAATTTAGGGCTAAGAAAAAAATTGCTTGGAAACAGAAGTAAAGTCTTAAATCATTAAACGATATCACATTTAACAGCAGTGGAAGCTACCTTTTTAAGACAGCAGTGAAAATTTGCTACTGCTTAAAAGTTGGTAACAAAATAATCTTACTCATTAGTTGTTTATACCTATGAAAATGCGTGTATATAAAAAAAACTAAAAAAACAACAACTATTGTTTCAATTGGGTTGGGCCCGCGTTACAACATAGTAGATTGTATTTTCCTGAAACCTTGTGTTTGAATGTTTATAAATATTTTACAATAATTTTTACACATGCTACAGATATCGATTAGGGGCTATAGCATTTTTATTAAGAGAAATTATTGAATAGTAGAAAGAACAAAATCTATGCCAAATATTGCAGATGAAAAATACATTCTATCAACTTAACTCCAGTCACATCTGATTCTGTTCTTCAAACTAATTCACATGTAACTTACTGCTCCAGTTTCCTTTAAACCGATACCGAACTATTTTAAAAACAACTCATTCTACCACGATACCACTACATTTGAAATATTTATATAAGTTTGTACAATACTAAACTATGCCCACAAAAAAATCCATCCTATTCCAAGGTAGAAACCGGTAATGAACTCCAGTTTTATTGACACAAACTGGTGAAAAGGATGACACATTCCATTATCCTCCTGGACAGGATGCCAGTCCATTTCAAGTTAATACTAAGCTATACATATTCATAAAGGCCTACACATTAATCAACAGTTACAGCACTCCAAATTTGTTTAATTAATCTAAAAAATGTTGTAAGAACCCATACCCTGCCTTTTCACTTCTTTCCTCTAGCCATTATTTAAGAACCCATACCCTGCCTTTTCACTTCTTTCCTCTAGCCATTATTTAAGAACCCATACCCTGCCTTTTCACTTCTTTCCTCTAGCCATTATTTAAAACTTTTTTATGAGATATTTTGATCTGGCACAATTTTAATGAACTACATTGGCGCAGTTTTTACAGTGCGTAGTAAGAAGTATCAATCGAATATGGGAAATTGATTAGTTTAGAAATATGCTGATTTCATAAGATATTCTGTCTGGTTATATTATACATGTGCTTTAAAGTTTTTTTTACACACTCTCTAGTGCATTTCACTTGTTAAGAGAAAAATAATACGCATTTAAGGTTGTAGGATGTATTACAAGCAAAAAACTTAGAAACCAATGCATTTCTCAATATTTCTTTTATTCTGTTTAATACACACACGATATAAGTATCTACAGTATACGATCTTGTGTTCGATGGGACAGTGGCAAGTTTGTAAACATACAAAGCTAAAATTCGTGGTTCGATTTCCTATAGTGGACAGAATGCAGATAAACTATTGTGACGCTTTGCCCTAAAACGAACAAGGCACAAAAATTCTAAGCATTAATAGGCGAGAAGGAAAATAAAGACGAAGGTTTGGTGGACTGTAAAAATTTTATACCAGAAAACATAAAATGAACACTCGAACGCCCAAATTCACAATTATTATGACATTTAATATATGTCACTCAATTATACCAGCTTCTCAAGTTTAAAGCCTGAAATAAAGAATGAAATAAATATATTTTAATTTATTTTTTATTAAACATGGATGGAAGAAGTAGAGAAAGCCCTCTTGAAACGATCCCTTTTAATACAATCAATGAATGTACTTTGTCAGGCATGCCTTGGCTTACGTATAACAATTATTATTAAAATTGCTGGCCATCACGGAAACGAAAAATTTCGAGGAACGTAAGTTTACTGCCTCTATCTTTGTATTTTGAATCACGATAAAGGTTTAAAAGTATCATTTTTTTTTCTATAATTTTTGTATATATTTTTTTCTCATGAACTGAAACATTTAATATTTTTTATATTATATATTCAACTTTCAAAGCCATTATTAGGAGTCATGCAGCCAGAAGGTAAGGTTTGTTTACTGCCTGAAAAAAAAAAAAGGTAAACTTGTATTGAGTTTGTCTACTGCTTCAAACGAAAAGTAGGGTTACATAAGGTTTGCCTGCTGCCTCAAACAAATGCAAGGTTATAACAGAATTTGGGTGAATTTAGACACGAACATGGTAATCGATAAATGACAAAATATAATGAAAGCGCTCCGTGTTTGAGCTGCACGCACACTTCTAAAACTGTTGGAACCACTTAAGTGTTTGTGATTACAGAAACTATTTCTTGCCTAGAAGATTTTTATTTTTTAGTGGAAAGTTAGCTTTCAAAAAATTTGGCGATTAACTAGTTGCACATTATATTTTCTTTGTTTTGCTTTTTTAGCGATTATACATTTCATATTGGAAGTCACATTAGGGCGATGACAATGCTTGGTATTCTACAGAGTAAGGCATTTTGCGGAAGGCCTCGCTTGGCCAGGTGGTTAGGGTGCTTGATTCACAGTCTGAGTGTCGCGGGTTCGAACCCCGTCACCGAACATGTTCGTCCTTTCAACCTTGGGGGCGTTATAATGTGACGGTCAATCCCGCTATTCGTTAGTAAAAAGAGTAGCCCAAGAGTTGGCGGTGGGTGGTGATGACTAGCTGCCTTCCCTCTAGTCTTACACTGCTAAATTAGGGACGGCTAGCGCAGATAGCCCTCGTGTATCTTTGCACGAAATTCATAACCTAACGAGTTTTTTTGTTGTTTTTTTTTGTATTAACATAATGAGCTTGTCTACTGATGTCGACAGGGCCGTTTTATCCAATGGGCAAAAAGGGCAGTTAACCAGGGCCCACCTTGCGTTGCGAGTATAATGATAAATAGTAAAATATGAAGCGTATAATAAAACAATAATAATAAACCAATTGTTTTTAAGGAATATTTTTTCCTTTCTTTATTTTTTTATCACTAATAAATTTAATTTATCAAATTGTGAGGTATTTTCTTAAGAGCAAGGGGGGCACTACTTTATACTTCACCCAATGTCTTAATGCGGCATTGGATGTCGAATATAAAAGTACTTCGCTTTTGTTTAATAAAACTGTTGTTTTATACATTATATATCATTTAAAATTACTTTGTTTTTACTAACGTAACAGTTGATTTATCCATACCACATCCACAGAAAAGCAATTTGATTTTGTCAAGCAGTTATTGAGTTATTCATATCACTTGTAAAACCATTTCATTTCCGTCGATCATAGCTGTTTGTTTCTTCATAACATTCAGAAAACCATTTCGTTTGGTCTCACACAGCTGTAATTTATTTATTTCACAAAACAATTTTTTTTATTTATCTAACATGGTTTTTGATTTCCTCATATCACTAGCCAAACCATTTATATTTTTAACACCGCTGTTTCTTTATTCATGTCACTTACAAAACCATTTCGTTTTGGTCTGTCGTGGCCATTGCTTTATTCATGTCACTTACAAAACCATTTCGTTTTGGTCTGTCGTGGCCATTGCTTTATTCATGTCACTTACAAAACCATTTCGTTTTGGTCTGTCGTGGCCATTGCTTTATTCACGTCACTTCAAAACCATTCGTTTTGGTCTGTCGTGGCCGTTGCTTTATTCATGTCACTTACAAAATCATTCGTTTTGGTCTGTCGTGGCCGTTGCTTTATTCATGTACTTAAAAACCATTCGTTTTGGTCTGTCGTGGCCGTTGCTTTATTCATGTCACTTACAAAATCATTTCGTTTTGGTCTGTCGTGGCCGTTGCTTTATTCATGTCACTTACAAAATCATTTCGTTTTGGTCTGTCGTGGCCGTTGCTTTATTCATGTTACTTAAAAAACCATTTCGTTTTGGTCTGTCGTGGCCGTTGCTTTATTCGTGTCACTTACAAAACTATTTCATTTTCGTCTGTCGTGACTGTTGCTTTATTCCTATCACGTTTTTTGCTAACATTAACGATTGCTTCTTTTTTCCGTATTACTCACAAAACCATTTCATTTCTATCAAATAAAGTTATTTGTTTAATCATACAACTCACAAAACGTTTCGTTTTTATTTAACGTAGCTGTTAATTTATTAATATCACTCACAGAACGATTTCGCTTTTACCTTACATAGTTGTTGATTTAACCATATAACTCACTAAATCATTTTGTTTTAGTCTAACGTAGTTCTAGATTTATTCACACCATTCACAAAACCATTTCATACTCGTTTAGCATAGTTGTTGATTTATTCAGGTCTCACACATCTTTTTGTGACTATCTGAATGATATTGCTCCCAGTTGCTCAACTGTAAGTCTGAAGGCTTATAATGCTAGAAACCGGGTTTCGATATTCGTGGTAGA